AAATGATTTTTTATAATTATTTAATTGATTATGTATTTAAAAATAGATTTAAAATAATTTAAAACTAAATTTAAAATAAAATCGACGGAGGCCTCTCTTAGGACGACATCTGGAACAGCGGGATTGGTCCCACTGTTTTAGGGTAATCATTGTGCAGCAATGATTGTGACAATCAATGACACAGACGTGTCAATCACTTATCCACGTAGGCGAGGTCCTACACCATCTAATCCTCCACATTTTGGGATGGATGGTCCTGATCTCTTCAGACCAAGAAAAAACCTGCGAGATCAAATCCCACAGTCGGTCCAAACTGTTGGACGACGGGATCTCGACCGTTGATCAAGAGATCAACGATCTAGGTGGTCCCCTAGCGTACTAAGCCGTATCCCAAAACCCTAATGCATTTTCTAAGTTTTCTCTCGATCAGATGCATAGATTCGAATGAAATTTTAAAACTATACTAAAAATATGAACAAAAATCATGGGGGATAATTAGTTTATCCTAAAATGCTCTTTAAAAAAAGTTAAATAACCCTAAGTGTAGTGACCTATTCTAAGGGTTTTAAGGAGTTTTCACCATTGGATCTTCAGGATCTTGAAAAGGTTGAGCTTGTAGACTGTCCTCATATGCTTTCCTAGTTGAAACCATGATCAAACGAGCCCTGGATCGAATGGATCAAAGCCTTAGATGGATCTAGCCTTGAGTCACCGGAGCTCGTGGTCAACGGCTTGGAAAGGCTAGGTTTTGGTTGGGGAAGATGAGGAGAGGTTGTGGGAGCTCAAGTGCAAAAGATCTCAGGTTTAGGGGGTCTAGGGAGAGAGCAATTGCCAAAGTCTCTCCAAAGAAACCTAAAACAAGTATTTAATGCCCTAGACCTAATACCAATAGCTAAGATTCAGTTTTAATTGAATTAAGAGGGAAACTAGGATGAATTACCGTGGTTTGAATTGAGGGAACATTAATAAGGCTTTAAATACATCGAATGGGTTCATAATAGGTTTAAATAGGTTAATTTGACCTATTTAAGACTTGGGTTGACCTAGTCAACACAGTCAAATAGGTCCAAGGGAGTGGGTGTTTAAGCCAAGAATGGGTTTGAATTGAATTGAATTGGATTTAGGCTCATCTAGGCTATTTGGGTCAAACTAGGTTGATCCAAGGCACAGGTCTGGGCTCAATGGGTTGGATCTGACCAATTGGATCTAGTGGAGGTGATGAGGATTGAGCAAAAGAGAGGTCAACAGCATTTAGATTTGAATGTTTTGTGTCCCTATGCATCACAAATGAAATATCGCATCCGTGAAAGGCATTCAAGCATCAAAACTCCCTCTCAATCTCTAATGAAAGCGATCAATCCAATCATCACAAACATTGCTCTGTATTGAAACTAGGATAGACTTACGCCACAGATTTTCAAAGTATCGATCAGCTCCATAGGAGGTGGAAATCACAGCCCCACTCATAAACTAATCTAGTAAATGGTCAGGTAACCTAAAGGAGGAAGGCACACCCAATCAGATTTTTTAGGGGCCTTCACCACAAGATTATTTAAAAAATGGTACTTCATGTGAAAAACGATCAGAGAATCACCAATCATGATGGAAACAACGTCATCAGCCATTGCCTCCTTTCTTGCAACAAAAGGCGGATTTTCCTTGGTCGCTAGAGCTCTCAAAGAGGGGCGATCACCCGTCATGACCTATGTATAAGGAGGGATCCTATAGTTAGATAAGGGATACCACTTATCTAAAGTAGGGGAAAGCTTCCATTATAGGGAGAGGTTTGAATGAGAAGGGAGAAAGGAGGAGTAGATTCCTTCTATGCATAAAGGTGCCTTATACTTGGTCAGGGGATACCGCCTGCACAGGGTTAGAGGAAGGCCTCAACTAGTAGAAAGAAGAAGGGGGAGGAGTGCAAATTTAACATACATCGGGGGGGGGGGGTGTATTATGGATGGAGGGGAAGTTAGGGAAGATAGGGAAAAAAATTTAGCCATCGTTTAGCCGAACAGACGACTAACCGCAACCGACAGCTGTGGTTGACTGCAAGCTGCTCACACTCACGCATCAAACAAGAATTTAGGTGTGTGGTCAAGGTCTAGAGTCGTAGTCAGAACCAACACCGCCAGAGGGGGGTTCTGATTTCACGGGCCAATCGAGCCGAGTCGAGAGCGGGATAGGCGCAGGCCAGAGGCAGGTTGCGAGCAAGCCCATGCGGAATCGAGTCTGCGACATGGTGGCTAATCCGTTTGGACACATTTCCGGGCCAACTAGATAGGCCAAATTTGATGTTTTTGGGTCCTCGGCACCGTTTTCAATGTTCCATACTAAATTTTAACACTTTTAAAACTATTTGGAACCTTTACACTAATGATTTGATTATTTTCAAATTTAAAATCATGTCAAGAATTCCCCAAGCGCTATAGTACATATTTTTGGACTTCTAGACTTTAACATCCAAAAATATGAGGGAACTGATATATCATCATAAAATTATCCTAATCGGGCACGGATCATCAAAACTCTAATTTCAGCAAACATATGATCGAACTAATCCGCACAAAAATATGAACCCAACGACTCCAAATTCGACTCAATCCAAGCCCAAATATGTCCAAACCAAAGACTCGGAGCACTTCTGGATGTTTCAAACCACAATTTGGATTACTAAACGGTTTCCAAACGTGAAATGATTGTATTTGAACCAACTGGCTAGGCGAGAAGAATCCAATGAGCCTAAGATCGTTGAATTCTAATATCATTAAGTCATTCAAATGTCCAATAAATCGTCCATGATCAAGGGAATCAACATCGGCTATCCAGTAAACCGTCCATGATCAAGGGAATTTTAGCCCGTAACAAGCATAATGTCAAATAATTTGCTATATGGATCATATCATGAATTTAATGTCATTCCACTTACCCTCGCACATGTTGATTAATTATATTGTTCTTATTGAAGATTTAATTTCTTTACAAATGATACTTTTAGAGCATCAAAATTAGCTACTAACATTTTGAAAAGAAACTTGAATACGTTTAAGGAAGTTGTATATCAACCATGATTATTGGACATTGATAGTATCATCGCAGATGAGATTATGCGGGTGGCATATGAAACACAAATTTCCTTTTCAATTGAGAAGATAAATAATCCCAAATTTGTGGTGATGGAACAGGATCTAACATACAACCTATTTAAATATTTTCTAAAAAATAAAATTATCAATGGTGAACTTCTCAATTTTTTATGAAAATTATTTGGGAAAGCATCAGCATGATCGCGCACGACCTTTATATGTGAAGAATAAGAAGAGTTCCGAGCAATGCAAACAAGTTAAAATCTTTAAATCATAAAAATCTAACTTATCTTAAGATTTAGTAAAAATACATTCAAGAGATGTTAAGTAAGATTCAAGAGATGTTAAGTAAGAAGATTTGACCCGGGTTAAAACAAAATTTAAGTTTCATTTGAGATTACTTTCTTATTGCTTCTTTAAACATCTTTTTATGTTTAAGTACTAAAAAGTTACTTTAAAAAACAGTAAGAAAGCCTTCTAAAACGAAGCCTTAACTAAAATCTTGCCAAAAAATAAGAAAATAAAAATAATAATAAAGTGCACTTAAATCCTTCCATTTCTCCCGTATTACCTAAATCCTAAACTAATTAAGGGCTATTTGGTTTGCTATATTAGGGGTCAAAAGTATTTGAAATGCAAAGGTTTTTGAAATATTGGTGTTTGATTTGACGTAAAAAAAAATAAATAAATGGAATTCACCATAGAGTTTAAATTCAGTGTACTTAGAATTCCTCATATTTGAGTAATTTTTAAAAACACCGCAAGCTCACTGCCAGTTACCACCTCGGCCATCACCGAGCACCTTCGGCTTCGCACTGGCCGCCAGCTGCCAAGCGTTACCAGCCACCCACCACCTCGGGATGCTAACCACTACTGGCCACCACCCGTAGACCCACGCCAGCAACCATAAACCACCGCCGACCACCGCTACAAACTTTTTTGAACTTTACATTGCATTTATTTTACTTCAATTCAAAATAAAAAAAATAAACTAGTGTATTTAATTTACAATTATCTAAACAACTCCAATATACTTTTTTTACACTTCCTTTTTATTCACTATATTTCTTTTATGTTGAATTATTTTTTTAGGCAGCAAAACAGCCTCAAATATGGAAAAAATTCACTCATGGGTGGCGTGGACGTTCAAGCAACAGCTTGCGTACTGGTTATAATTGATGCTGCTATACCACCCACCCCACAGGTCATCTTAAATCTTATTCTCCAAGTAATTAACTGAAGCAATGTTTTTTTGAATAGTGAGACAATTTTGTTTTAATAATGCTACAGTCAAAAAATTAAATAGATTTATTTATTCTTATGTTTATAATTTATATGGTATAATTTATAAGACTAGAGTATATATATTCATATTTACTTTTCGTAGATGGGTAAAAAAAATTTTATTTTATGCTCGTGCTTAATTCAGGAGTGAGCTTATTTCTGATTTATTTTTATATGCAATAAGCATTTTATGATTAACTAGCTCTGTTTTAATTATTGTTAAATATGATCTTAGCATATATTAACTAGGTTTTAATTATCAGAGTTAATAATTATAAAAATTTATTTAATTAAATCAACAATATTCAATCCTGCAATAGGACCAAAGATATTAATTAAAGAAATAAAAAACTTAATTATAATTAATAAAAATCAATAAACAAATGAGCAAATTGGTATTAATTAGGGTTTAGTTGTACAAAATTAACGTTGTTGTGTTTAATTTCATTTAAATTTCAGTCTTTTATTTATTTATTTATTTATTTGAAATATTTGGAGCATGAGCCCATTTTATTAATGAAGAAATAAATTACAATTAAAAAGAAATCATTTCCCATCCTCCTTGCAGTCAAACAGCCCTTATAACTCAGAAAAGAAAGGATTTACAACAAAAAAATTCAATTTCCCAAAAAATAGTAGCCAAATTAAACAAAAGTTCAGATTTAATGATTCCATTCGTTACAAATTTATTTTACCATTTATCTATTGTACAGAGCATTTTCTTATGCACAAATAAAATTACCATCAACCACCCATTAACCTCTTCATCCCTAGCGTTCCGCACAACATCCACTTCCAGAATCAGCACATCAACTACCTTCATTAAAAAAAACAAACAAGCAAAACAAACATAAATCCTCCCATTTATTCCAGATCTGGACGCGTTCCCTACCGCGGTTAATCGACGGCGACGACCCTTTCTCCACCAGCTTCAATTCTCCTCAGCGCCTTCGCAAGGTGATCTGAAAGCGTCCTAATCCGGCGGTTGTACTCCCTTGCCTGCTCGATCGCCTCGGCCTCGAGCTCGCCGAGCTGCGTGCAGAGCCTCTCCTCTGCTTCCTCAACTGCCATCAACCTCTCCTTCGTTCTCTCCAACTCCAGCCTTAGCTCCTCTTCGCTCTCTCTCCTCTCCCTCACCTCTCTTTCCAGCTCTAGATTTCTCCGCTGGAGCTCCTCCGCCTCCGTTAACGAAACCCCCTGCACCAAGCCAACGCGCCGGAACCCTAAACCCATCTTCCCAGCCATTGGATCGGGTATCGCAATTCCGATTGCTGGAGCCATCTCTCTCTCTCTCTCTCTCTCTCTCAAGCCTATTAAGTTGAATCAGGCGTCTAGGCAAAGTCTAAACGCTTTATAGAGGATGGGGAGAGCGAAAAAACGTCTAAGTTCAATGAACCGGAGGAATCGGAGCTGGGGCGGAACTCCGAATGGCGGAAGGATAAAATGGCGCCATTTGTACGGAAGACGACATGTCGCTCATTTTTTTTGTATAAAAATATAAATAGTTCTAGTCGGTGCGGTTTTCGAGGCTAAGGGTTGATATCAACCGTCTGATCTTTCAAATGCAATTGATGTAGCGCGACGACTTTGATTGGCTCGGTAGATAGGACTAAAATTGAAAGATGCTAGATTTTTCGTTGTTTACTTTGATAATTTATATTTATTAATTTTTAGAAAATTGATTAAGTCTTTGTTTGTGACGGCTTTTTTACTGCTTCTTAAAGCTACTTTTTAATATAAATTTTTAATTTTTTGTAATAGAAATCAGTTTTAAGAAGCAGGAAGAAAGCCGTCCCAAACGAAATCTAAATATTTTTTTTATGAAGTTCTCAGAAATTCTGTCATCAATAATGTGATTTTAAAAAAGGAATTTACATACATACTAATTTATTTCAAGCTATTACATATCTAATACTTAAAATTTTAATATTATATACTCATTATTCTTTTTTTATTTTAAGAATTGCATCAAATTGCATTAAGAACAAAGAACTACTTACAAGTAACAAAAGGATAACTTTCCTCCTTGATTAATTTCAATAACAAGGAAGGAATGTTCCCAAAAGAAAAGCTATGAAAAAAGAAACTACTATCCAATGCTATAGTAGCACAACAATTAGCTATCTTATTACAACTTCTATATACATGATGGAACACCACTTTATTGAAGTCATTTAAGAAACATAAATCATTTGCCGGCCACCTATCCACATGCCAATTATTCTTCTTTAAAGAGTCTTGAATGAATTTGATAATATTGGTATTACCACTCTCAATGATGTCCCCTTTGCATTCCAACATCCAACTTCTATGGAACTCCCTCACCATGAAAACAGCTTCTAGCTCAAGCTGTGCAATATCCCAATGAGCTTTATTCTTTCCAAATGCACTAATAAACCTACCTTTGTGGTCTCTAAAAACACCACCAATACCAGCAAGGTTGGAGCTAAGCAATGAAGCATCCACATGAATCTTAATCCAATCTTTCGGTGGAGGGTACCAAGTATTTTGAGACTCCCTAAGGAGATTAGTACCCCAGCTAGAAAGATATGGACTATATTTGGAAATGGCTAAGAACAAAGCATTAGAAGCAACCATAGAGCATGGCAAAGCAGCCTTACCATGCTTGACATCATTCTGATTCTTCCAAGAGAGGTAAACTATGCTGCAGTAAATTTTGACAATTCTAGAATTACGGGTTGTAAGCTTCTTCAATTCCTGTAGAGAGCAATCCAGAGAACTGAAAACAGGTAAAAGAATACCCCATTCACGCAACTTCACAATGACTTCAACCATATATTTGCAATGAACCATGATATGCTCATACGTTTCATTCACTTGACAGCCTCTAGCACAAAGAGCATTCTCAGAAATCCTACAGTTCTTAAGAAACAAGTTGGTTGGAATCGCTAATTTGCCAAGCCTCCACCAGAAGATTTCCACCTTCTTACTAAGTTTCAGTTTATGCACCCATCTAGAGAACTCATCATCCTCCAATGCACATCTACTGAGCAGCACTTGCTCATAAACCACATCAGAGACTGTTTTACCCAAAAACATTTTTAACAGCTCCATCTGATCCTCCTCCTCATACTCAATTTGTATTTGACTAATCAAGAAGATTAGATCAGGATGAAAGGCCCTTTGTAACATGGCAAAATTCCATTCACCATTACATAACAATAGCTGCTGTATATAGACACAATCCAGAAAATCACAATAAACATAGGTTGGCCACCTATTGATGCATTTATCAAGCAAGCAACCATGCATCATTCAAGACATTAATCTTGTCACCCTTACCCACTTTCCATCTAACAGCATTTTTCAAATTTCTTCCACCATTCAACAGAATTTGCCAAGAACAAGACGTAATCTTCTTTTGGGTGCCATTCATAACATCACTACCATATTTAGCTTTCATTATTCGATGGAACAACGAACTCGACTTCTGAATATAATTCCAAGCCAATTTAGATCTTAGAGAACCAATTATGAGTAACGGGGAATGCAAACCCAGCCCTCCCATACCAATGGACCCATCATTTTTATACCAAATGAAACTTCTATAAAGTTTTTCCAACTCATGTAATACCCTCTTGGGAACCAAAGAATGAGTAACTAAGAAATTTGGCATAGAAAGCAAAGAACTTTCAATGAGAGTGAGCTTACCTCCCATTGACAAAGACTTTTTACTCCAAGCATTGAGCCTATCCATGACATTACTCAAAAGCTCTTGAAAGTTAGCCATCTTGAGTCTACTAAGGGAGATCTTCACACCCAATTATTTCATATCCTTAACCACTTTGAAGCCAAGTACTTAGCAATCTTCTTCTTCATAGAGTAACTAACTACCTTGCTGAACATCAATTGTGACTTGTTGACATTAACTCTTTGCCCTGTCTACTTACAAAAATCCTCTACAATGATCTTAATAAAGGAGAAAATGGAAGCATGAGGGCACAAAATGAAAAGGAGATGTGTAATAAATCATTGAGCCAATCCATGCATTAGCTAAAGCAATGGAAGCATGAGAAAAAATTAACACATCATCTGCATAAAGGAGATGTGTGATCTTTGGGCCTCTAGGGGAAATATGAATGCCAAGGGTCTGCCCCCTTTGCTCAAGTGAGTTGGACATGAGTTGAGGGCACAAAATGAAAAGATAGGGTGAAAGTGGACACCCTTGACGGAACCTACTCTGAGCATTGATCCACTTTGAATTCTTTCCATTGATGATAATAGAAAACCTCAAATCTACAACACATTCCATGAGAAGGTTAGAGAAATCAGTAGGAATGCCATACCAATAAAGAATTTGACGAAGAGTCTATCCCATGCTATCATATGCTTGCTCCATATCCAATTGTAAAACCATCAACCCCTTCTTATTCTTGGATATTTTGAACTTGTGAAAGATCTCCTGAGCCAACAGGCAATGCTCTAAAATAGATCTTCCAGGAATGAACACCAATTGCTCGTTAGTAATCATCTTGGAAATACTCTTTTTCAATCTATTAACTAACATGGTAGCCACAATCTTATAATTAGTCTGAAAAAGACTAATAGGCCAATAGTTGGATGTAATCAAAGGGTTCTTTACTTTAGAAATCAAGACAATGAAAGTATCCTTCCACTCCTTATGTATATGTCTGGTCTTGAAAAAACAATTGACAGCATTCCAATAGCTCTTATAAAAAGAAGAAGTAACACCATCCATACCTGGTGACTTGTTGTTCCCTTGCTTGAAGACCAAAAATTGCAGTTCATTCACAGAAAAATCTGCATTAAACCAATCCATACCTCTGCTGTAACCTTCTGGTTTTCAGAAAGCTATGGCCAGCCCGTCAGTTCACATTCCCTGTATTTCCATTTCTTCTCAAAAAAATGTATAAAGACCTTCTCAATTTGCTCATCCTCATCAAGCAGATTATTAAACTCATCTTTATTTTGAATAGCCCGATTTCCATTTCTTCTAGTTGTGGAAAAATTATGAAAAATCTTTGTGTTTGTATCACCTTCCTCATGCCACCTTGCTTTTGCCCTTTGATTCCAACAAGCAGACAATCTTCTCAATGTGACATTAAACTCATGTACCTTGTTTCTAAGTGCAAAAAGGTCTTTAACTAACCAATTATCACCCAAAGCTTCCTTGTTCTGAAGTTCTAGAATTTCCTTCTTCAACTTCTCCTTCATCATATTCAAATCATTGCACTTATTTCTATTCCAAAAAAATAGTGCTTTTAAGGTTCGGCTAAGCTTCCTTTGCAAGATCATATACTCATTGCCAAAATCATTCTTCTTCCAAGAGTGATAAACAACACTCTTAGCTGCAGGGTAAGATCTCCAAGTATCCTCAAATTTAATGGCCTTAGACTTGAACCGTACCTTTTCAACTAACTTAAGAACAATAGGACTATGGTCAGATGCCACTCTAGCAAGATGCCTGATATTAGCAAATGGAAGCTTCTGAATAGTAGCCGAATTTAACATACATCTGTCCAACCTTTCCTAAATCCGAGAGGCTCCCTCTTTGTTGTTATACCAAGTAAACCTTGGTCCAACACTTCCAACATCATGAAAATATGAATTCATCATAAAGCATTTCATCTCCCTAGGTCCTTTTGAAAGCAAGAACCTCTTGCCTCCTATCTTTTCTTCTTTATTCAGTATACAATTAAAATCCCCTCTAATAATGGAAGGAATTGTATCCTCCAAACATTTCTCTATTTGACTCCAAAGACTTCCCCTTTCCTTACAGCATCTGCTCCCATACACAGTGGCAACCTTCCAAGTTCCTAAGTTGGGAACCGAGAGATCACCAACTATAGCTTGAGAAGAAGTCTCCTTAACATCAAATGACACCAACTTCTTGTTCCATAACACCAAAATACCTCCTGAGGTACCCACAACAGGGTAGTGAAAGTACTCTCTATTGTTCCCAATAAGGCAATCAACCTCCATTCTATCAATACAAGACAACTTGGTCTCCATGAGCCCAATAAAAAACACATCCTAGTCTCTAACAATTTCCTTTAAATATAAGGAAGCCTCTTTTTTCCTAGCCCCCCTACAATTCCAAAATAAGATGGACGACATTTAAACAGGTGCAGAGGATCTCTCCCCACTAAAGGAGTTTAGCCTTCCATCCCTCTTCTTCTTTTTATAATCAGGTTCAACTGGCCCCTATGATCTCAATTCATTGGCTAGCTTAATCATAGCATCAGCACTATGAGAACCCAAACAAATGAGACTGATGTCTGGATCAGCTATACCCATGCCCCTGTCCAATGCTTTATCAATTCCTTCATGATTTCCAATACCTTCTTCTTCATTATTAACAATCAAAGCATCAAACCTATTATTTAATTGAATTTCTCGCAACTTACTCCCAGAAACTTCCTCTATCTCTGAACATTTTTCTGGAGCCATGACAGATTTTTCTACA